TAATTCGAATTTTTGGAAGAACGGATAAAATTTAAATCAAAAAGAAAGAGAAAAAAAGAAAAAAACAGAAAAAAAATCGAAGGGGGGGGAGGGGGGAATGAAAAAATGATGAAAAAAAAAAAAATATAGGTGGGAGAGAGAAAAGATTGAAGTGGTAGGTGAGGGAGATGATGGGGTTGTAGTTAGGGGAAGAAAGGAGGAGAGGAGGGTGAGAGAATGAGAGAGAAAGCTATGAAAAATGTGAAGAAAAAAGTGAGAGATTAGTAAAAGAAGGTGAGTGGAGAGAGAGGAGAGAAAAAGATGGTGGGAGATGAGTGAAGAGGGAAGGGTATGAGAGATTAAGGGGAAGGAGAGGAGAGAAGTAGGGAAAAGAAGCAAGGAGAGGAGAGAGTAAAAATATGGTAGTGGATGGAGAACGAGTGAAGGGGATGAGAGATTAGTGGGGAGAAGAGGAGAGAAATGAGAAAAGTAAAGAGAGGAGTGAGAAAAGGTGATGGATGAGTGGTGGTGAGAGAAAAAGATGGTCAGATGATGAAGGGGAGAGAGGAAAAAGGAGTGGGAGAGTGGATTAGGGATGAGAGAGGTGATACCCAGCTCTTGGGTAACCAAGAGCATACAACTTCACCAAGATCCACAAGATCTTGGCCTTCACACACCCCTTGGGAGAAGGGGTCTTCAAGGTGGTGATGAACTGCTGCTGCACATTATCAAGGGTTGGCTGAGATATTGATCAGCCACCCAGTTCCACTGTAGTGCAGCCCCCTAGCCAGGGGGGTCTTCAAAAAAAAAAATCCTCAGCAAACTGCCACGTGGCACTTTTGGAGATGGCCACGGGTCAAGAGAGGAGATGTAGAGGGCAAAAACTCTTTTGCCAATAACTTTTCACCCGCTGGGTGAAATTTGACAAAAGAGGTCTTGTTGGAAAGCTTTTCGAAAGACACTTCCAACGAGATAAGGCACAACATCAGCCACTGTCTAGAGTAATAGCGCTCGTTAAAAAAACGAGCGCGGGTGGTTTTTTGAAACTTTTAAAAACATCGCGATCTTTGAAAGATCGTAGCTCCTCAACCACCCCACAAAATTAGGCGATCTATAGCTTGTTGGAAGTGGCTCAGCAAGAGCTTCGGACCACCGGTGCAGAAGTTACGATCGAAAGAGTGCACCAGTGTCATTACCAAAGAAAAGTGGCAAGCTTTTTTTTTTTTTTTTTTTTTCTCAAACCGCGTGGCAACTGATAGTTGGGGTGGGTTGGGGAGAGGAGCAGGGAGGAAAGCCTGCTCTGATACCAGTGTGCCGGACCCACCGGGATGGGGGTCCGACAGAGTGGAGAAGAAGAGTGGACAAAGGAGGAGGTAGAGATTGAGCTGGAAGGGACAGCGCAACTCCGATGCAGACTGCACACACACGTACTCCAAGATCTGCAAAAGTGAAAAATGATAAAAAACAGACAACTGCTGGGGTATACCCCCAGCGGACTGACTGACTGGACTGGACTGGCTTGGTACCGACAGTAGTACCGGGAAGGACTAGAACAACACATGGTCTGTGGGGTCAGACCACGGCCAGGTCTCACAGGCTGAACAGGGCAAATAGCCAAATAGGCCCTGGCTGTAGGCTAGGGCAGGTGAAGGCCCGCTGCACTGACAACGCAAAAGCGAACGCAATTTTCGAAAGGTCGGTCGGGCACTGTCGAAATTCCGTCGGTCGGGCACTGTCGAAATTCCGTCACCTGCAGGCGGAGGGAAACGGTTGCTGGAGGGCGGTTGTCGAAAGGACCATTTTGACACCTGTCGAAAGTTTTTTGAGCATCAATTCTTCGAAAGTCTGTGTGGGGATGCAAAATTGTCAAAAATAGGATTTTCGACAGCCTGTGTGGCGAGCCTCTTACTATCTGTGGTCCCACACTCCAATTCGTGAGAACACTAGCAGACGAGGTGACAATACTGGACTATTTGGCTTCATCTGCATTTTGTCCGCCACGACTCCAGGCATACTCTCCGAATTCAGAGTATCTACGTGAGTCGCGCTGAGGTCCATCCGAAAAACGGAGGTTGCAGGCTGGGTACTCTCCGACCGTGGAGAGTGCACTTGGATGGTGATTTCTGACAGCTATTTGAGTGCAACGGTGAAAAACTCTCCGATTTCGGAGAGTGGAGAGTAGTGCAGCGAGACCCTTAGTCCCCCCACCGAATTTCGAAGAGAAGTCGCCGAGGAGTGTCGAAAGCATGGGAGTAGCAGGCTGGGGATTCAACAACTTTCGACAGGAGCTGTCAAGAAGCATGCTCTGACAACTAGATAATTTTTTTCCCGTCTTCGACTTGGACAGCCTGTGTGGCGAAGAGAAACTATCGAAAATTGCATTTCCGACAGTGGTGCGGCAAGGCCCGCACTCGTTCCGTTTTTTTTCTTTTTTTTTCTAAGACTAATTCTCAACTAGTTGAATTACCTGTCAAATCTGGACAGGACGTCCTTTCAGGCCTTTTTATTGACATTATTGCATTTGGGGGGGGAACTCGTAGCAGCCACATCCGTCCTCAAGTCTCTAACGAGGGAGCACGCGGTATCGCCCACCTTGTAGCAGGTATCGCACCTGCTGGTGGGTGAGGCTCCCACTCGTTCCGTTTTCATTTCGTGTGCAGTGTGGTGAGACCCTAAGCAAAACGAAAACGAAACGAGTGCATCTGCCCACCAAAGGTGGCAATATACACTCGTTACTATTTATAGCAAGCCCATGAACCTGGCCATTTTCTGGGGGAACATCGTTTCAATTTTCGTTTCGTGTGCCGTGCGGCAACGCCCTAAGTAGGGTCGATGGCAACGCCCTAAGTAGGGTCGATGGCAACGCCGCAAGTACACGCGGGAAATCTTGATCTCTCCCTTCCGAGCGACGGAAATAGCGGGAAATCCTGATCTCTCCCAGCTGGCGGCTCCAGGCGGGAGCAGCGACGTCACATGCCAGGAATTGTCTACGTACGTAGCTATCATAAATATTGACGAAGACTGCAAAAACGCACAACAGTGAGATTCACAACCAGGGCAGAAGAGAGAAGCTCACACCAAACAAGCCAGATGGATATAGATGAGAACCCAAAAATGAAACCCGAATGCAACTCCTTAGAAAAAGATAATCATGAAGTACAAGACGACGACTAACATCGTCGTGGCGTTTGACCCGACTGGTTTCGTGCGGCTGCCAAAGCGCACTCATCAGGGGTCTTACGAAGTCGATGTCAAAGAGACATTCTTAGACTTCTTATCTTTATCCGTCAGTCCAGTCAAGCGCCAAAGAACCTTCGGTACTTCCTAAAAAAACTTGAAAACTAGAATAGCCGAACCTTCTAAAAAGTACTAGTAAAGGCCATAAAAAAGACCCACAAAAATAACACCCGTCCCCAAGATCTAAAAAAATTTTCACGGTCAGTATTTTTCATTATCCCCACGAGTACCGTATTCAGCCTACCGTCAATCAAAACCCATTTCTCACCTATTACCTTTAAGTTAGTTCCACAGTTCCAGAACATGGTCCACCCATTCTCCGTTCAACCCAAACAAAGGCCTTGGAACCCTAGAAATTGTCCCCTTCCAATTGAAAAACACCCACCCATTCAACAAAAATTTACCCATCCATCCTTAAAAACTTTAAACAGTTGTGCCCTCTACCCACATCAAATACATCATCTATCCCACATGTACGAAGATCCTAAAAAACGGATCCAATCAGAAGACCTCCTTGCAGAATCACCACTTGGTCAAAAGGGGTATCCATTGCCCCCACAATCCACCAGACTTGCGTGAAAAACTAATCAAAGCAGTGTCAAAGAAATCATCAGGATACTCTCTCCGTCTCAATTCTTGCTTCAGTGCCAATAAGTAATTAAGTTTCAAATCTTCCATTGTAGAATACGTTTTAGCCCTGTGCAAAAAGGAGCCGATCACAGCCATCTTCTGCTGTCTATTCGAATAGGATGCACAATCCTGTAAACAATGAAAAACAAATTTGCCTTCAAAAACTTCCTTTTGTCATTGGACAACATATAACTTCTTCTTTTCCCTTAACAATACTTAGTTCACAGCCTAAGTATCCCCACGTACTTCCTTCATTTGTCCGTTCCAGCACCAGATTCTTATCGTAGCAGTCAGCGAAAGCATCAATCAAAAGTCGACCTTTTTCAAGTCCCTCAAATCCTTTACAACGTACAAACACAGAAACGTCATCGATCAGTCTAAACCCTGAGAGCAACCTTCGATCCGTTCCTTGACTAGAAAGAAACTTGAATTCATTTAACGCACAAAGCAGACAAGCTAAAGCTGGACTAGTGGATTTACCCATCGGGATACCTATTGTTTGTCTCAGTAATTGTCCGACAGCTGAAACAAAAGTATGTTGCAACTCATACCTTACAAAGATAACTATCTTATCCAGTGCAATCGATTTTCAACCACTCTCTAATTTTCCTCGAAGCAACTTTGCGTCCTTCCCATGTTTCCTAATAGCAACACTACTGATCTCCTTTCGTTCCCAAAAATCAACCACCCAATCCAATGCATCAAGGATAGAATTATGTGGCAGGTGGGAAAATATCTCCTTCACGTCAAAGGAGGCTCCGATTAAACGTTCATCTTAACCGGTCGTCCGATTCATATCCTTGATGGCAACCGCCAAATCATCTGCACTACACAAGTTCAAGTTAGACTCCTTCAGCAAATTCCACAACATGCTGTTGACGGCACGCGAAACCAGTCTTCCACCTTTTGTAGAGCACTATGAGTGCGACGGGCAAATCGGCCTCCATCGGTCTATATCCTTGTGCTTCGGGATGCAATATGCTCTCCCCAATTTCCCTTGCATGTTCCATTTTCCCACCGTTTGAAGTTCAAGTGTCTTGTACTCATCAAAACAATTCTTCAGCAAAATCTCTTCTCCCTCATAACGAGTTTCAAAAGCAGAGCTACCAAAAAACAAATCTTTCATTGCTTTTTCATAAATATCGCCTCAAGCTCATGTTTATACTCCTTCATTTCTCTTTTCGATATTACGCTTGGAACTACCGCACCAGAGAAACTTCCATCTAAACAATGACCAAGGAGGCAACCCTTGAGATTATCCGCACAGAGGAAGTCATGGCTTATATCGGGTACGCAGCCATGGTTAGTGAATGCATTCCTGATTTGTCTTCTCAGTGATCCAATCAAATCGCATCTATCAGGCCGCACGATATTCCTCGAATTTCTCAACCATCTTGAACAAGAGTCAGAGTCATTCACCTGAAACGAGATATGCCCGTCTTTTCTGTCAAAACTTCCCCCAAAACTCGAGCACGGACAATCAGTTTCAAGACGTCGGGCGTATGTCCGAAAATTATGCAGAATTGAACCCACCGTATCATTACGAGTCCATACCACTCTCAACCTTCGTACCAGCATAACTTTCCATGCGATAGAGATTCCCAAATCTCTTCAAATTTGCGCACACAGCAATTGAACTCTTGTTTTACTGACAAAATCATTATACGTTATCTTCACGACCACTCGCTTCCTAACACAGATACCAAAACGGGTATAAATACATTTTGACAGAATACAATGTAACCTCCCCTTGGTCAATTTCTCCGAAAAGGTTCGAATAGCAGAATAGGTAAACACGAGGGTATCGAAATCCCAAGAAAACATCAAACGTCTACTGGGGGGATTACTCAGAAAATCCGCAAGAGACCCTTTATAAACTAATGACTTACACATAAAAGGAATCACCCTCTCAAAATCTAAACTCAATCCTGCCTTCAACCATCCTTTCGCGTGGCGCAACTCAATCTTATCAAAGATACTACTCACTAAGCTCCCTCCATACCTTCGTCGAAGAACCTTCCAGTTGTCTGTTAACACCTCTTCCCCAACACAATCAACTCGAACTCGATGTCGATTTTTACGTTTACATTCATCCAGCATAAAAATCAGGCTTCGAGAGATAATCCCACAGTCTATTCTGAACAAAAGATCTCTTTTACCAAAAGACCCAATGAATCGTCCATTCTTACGAAGAGGATTATCCATATTCTTCCGTTTCAATCTCTCTCGTTTCCCCGGTCCACATTTCTTCGGTCTATGCGGTTTATCTCAAACGTTAAGAGCGGGACAGGTTCTCCTGATAAAAAACTTTTCAACTTCCAACACATCATTCCTCTCACCCTTAATCAATGAGATAGCCACATAATTCGAAACGTTCTGCCTTCGTAGCCATCAATAAAGCTTCTCGTTCCGTCTCTTGTTCTCTACCAAAGCATTGTACGTTCCCCGGTACACATGTTCAGACCACCTGGCGTGCAAATCCCTTGTCGTACTACTGTATAAGTGCTTACACCATGGCAAAATTAATGCATAAACCAAGGGGCCTTCCCACTTAACGTTCTCACCTTCCTCGCTTCGCAAATAACGACTAACAAAGGGTATCAAGCATTTACTTCACGGAATCTGTCCCAAAATTATCAACAAACACACCACGAAACATAACAGTTGGTTAACTAACCAGTTTCTCAACAAACCCTTCGATAGAGATTTGAAACTCCGAAGTTGACGAAAATAAGCCCAAAGTTGAGTCGCGCTCGGGATAGACCCTAGGAAGCGGCAGTATCCACATCTTCCTCCTTGTCAGCAGCATCCTCCCCATCAGTCGTCACTTCAACCACTGTGGCTTCATTTTCCTTACCTTTGTCGTGTTCCCCCTGTCCAAAGGCTCTTGCAGTTCTCAAACAAACGATCTCTTCCTTGGTCGGTTCTAAAGTGGTATAGACAATCCCCTCATCTCTTCAAATTTTCTGGATCTCTTCCTTATTCTTCTTTCGGAGATTCTTCCTCTCCTGCTGTGCAAAGGCTTCTAGCTCGTTAATTCCTGCTCCCGATATCTCAATCCGTTTCTTCTTAGAAGATGAGCAAGGCGGCTTGTAAGTAGATGGTCCCGCCACTTCTTCCAGTCGATTCCGTAAATTAGTCCCTCTCTGCTCCTTCTCCATTTCCAACTTCGCCATAGCTTCCTTTAGTCTTTCAACCTCCTTTTCAGCTTCAATTCTCCCATTCGCATTCGTCAACCTCATTTCTTTCAAAACATTCACCTCCATTTTATGTCTTTCCACCACCCCTTTCAGCAGCGGGTTGACTCTAGACTCTGTCCTTGCGTTTTCCACACGGGTCACGCTGCCTGTGTTTGCTGGAGAACTCCGCATGAGCACACGAGATTGCGGTACTGGAGTCTCCAAAACAACATTTTCACGCTTATTCCCCGGTCTAACCGCCTCCGCTTTCCACATCTCTGCGTTGCCTTCCGCAACTTCTTTTCCCTTGGTAAGCTCTTGAATGCGTTCTTCCATCATCGCAAATCTCCGATCGACCGCAATCCTCATTTCCTCTTGCTCTTGCCTTAACTTCTCCACCAAATCCATGTTTGAAGTAGACTTTGTCGCACAAGTCGTTAGAGTAACAGCTTCCTTTTGTCTCGTTAGCCTGGCCACGTCTTCTTTCAATCTCGCGATCTCATTCGCCTCCTGATCCCTCCTATCGATCTTCTCACACACCTTCTTCGACTACTTACTTAACTCCTGGTTCAACTTCAAATGATGTTCCTCCCTTTCTTGTTTATCGCGAACTCTCCTTTCTTCATCTTTTCTCTCTTTCTTCATCCGTTCTGCTTCTTCTTTCATATCCGCTTCCATCGCCTCATCTGCCTCGTGTTTCACCTTAATTCGTCCGACTATCTCTTCCAAAGTGGATACTCGATTCCTCAACCATGATTTGTCGTTCGAATAACTGCTAGAGTAAGTGCCTTGGTTACTTCCCACGCCATATACTTGCGGTGCAGTAGTCAACGGTTGTGTCGGAACAATCGCCAGGCTGGTACTGGCTTGTCCTCCATTCAGTCGTTTATCTGGCAAAGAACAAAACCTTGAGATGTGCCCCTGCTGACCACAATTGTAGCAACTCCTATTGTCCGCAACTTGCAGGTTCGCATGCGTAGCCATATCGAAGCCACTCGAGACGTAGTACAATCTCTACGTCGGTTACTCCGTGCGTGAAAGTCTACGTACGTAGCTATCACGAATATTGACGAAGACTGCAGAAACGCACAACAGTGAGATTCACAACCAGGGCAGAAGAGAGAAGCTCACACCAAACAAGGGAGATGGATACAGATGAGAACCCAAAAATGAAACCCGAACGCAACTCCTTAGAAAAAGATAATCATGAAGTACAAGACGACGACTAGCATCGTCGTGGCGTTTGACCCGACTGGTTTCGTGCGGCCGCCAAACCGCACTCATCAGGGGTCTTACGAAGTCGATGTCAAAGAGACATTCTTAGACTTTTTATCTGTATCCGTCAGTTTAGTCAAGCGCCAAAGAACCTTCAGCCACTTTGGCTTACGAGCGCTCAATTCAAGCCAGGGTCTCCGTCCTGACTATGTCGGAGTAGGATTTTTTTTTTTTTTTTTTTTTTTTTTTGGAAAGCTTGAATATGTATTCCGAAACAACCAATGGGACGAGGCCGGGGACCTCACAATTCGACCCGGAGTTATCCTGGCAGCCTCAGTCAGTTTTTGTTAGCTCGAAGATCCACTCACTGCTTAAAATCTATCAATTTATCAAGTCTACTGTTGAAAACCGGGTCCAGCGTCCCATAATGATAACCAACTACTTTCCAAAATTAAGCCTTGAAGCCCAGGTAAAAGGACGACATCTATCAATTTATGAAGTCTACTGCTGAAAACCGGGTCCAGCGTCCCATGGCTCTGGTCTTCAGAGGAATAATTATGGAAGCACTGTGGGGAATGAGAAATGCAAAATTTTTCCAAGGGGAAACAATATCATATCAACAGACCCTTACTATTATTAAACATAATCTTAGATTGGTAATCAAAGTAGATAGGAGGCGTAAAGGAGTGATTTGGTTTGCCAAGACTTGGGCCAAGCAAGAGCATTTTGCAAAGCTTTCATCAGAAGGGGAACTAATACTAACAGACTGGTTGTTATAAACCTGACTGCAGTGTGACGAACCGATTTCTGTTCCGCGCGATTTTCTGTGCGATAACAATGAGGGGTCCTAAGCTGGGAAGGATGGGCCAATTACGGGAGATCAGGATTGAAGGGAAATTGCATCGGTGTCCTCGTTTCTTCGTCTTTTTGCGTTGTCTCTTTTTGGATGATTGGGTGCAGCGCCGGGCAAGTCCCGGGGATGATTGGTTGAGTGGTGCGCCGCCTCGAGCGCGCGAATAATACTTGTCGACGTCATTCCTTTCCGTTTTCTATTGTTGGATTTTAGGCGCTGAGCCTTCTCGAGAATTTTTGCTTCGTTCTTTTTGAACCTTCTTTTCGAATCTTGTCGAGCCCCAATGACTCTCGAAATTTCGGATTTTCCTTTCAGAATTCGTACTTTTTGCTTTTTCTGCATTAGATAGAAATTTTGGAATTTTGGAATTTTGGATTTTTTTTTGCCACGCAGCGCTTTTTGCTTACGCGCTTCTTTTTGCGGCTACAACGAAGCTCTGATTAGTCGGCGCCCTTAATCGTGTGTGTAATTGTAATTTTGGGCGGGCACCATTGTAACTGAATCTTTCTTCTTGAACTTTATTTTTCCCGCTCTCGCTTTTTCTCTTGCTGTATCTAGCTAGCCCGCGGACTGCATGCTCGGATTGATGCGTGGAGAGAGGCTACGTCCCCTACGTCGTGATCTGGCCATGCAGAACGTAGGCGCCCCCTCTCCTGATCTCCTTTCTAAGTCTTTGCAATTCCGTGTTCTTCGCGCATGGATGCATGACTATAAATTATGGCTGCGCAGTTAGATAGCTCTCTTAACCAATTCTTGGAGGCTCGGGGAGCGCAATCAGTGAGGGTCGGCTCGCGAGCGAAGTAAGAGGTGAGTTGAAGTGGGAGTTGGGCGACCCGACGAGCTGGTGCTGAACGCGCGGCGGGCCACGACAGACTGTGGGCGTGGGCGAACCTGACGGGTGCGGGAGGACTAAGCGGGGTGACGACTTCTTGGGATTGATGCGTGACGATAGACTGTCCGCATTGGAGGGGAAGAGAGAAGGAGAGGGAGTTGAGGTTGATGGACGTGGGTTGCAATTTTCTTTGTATTGTCTCCCTCCTTGCTTTTGTATATAAATTTTGATCTCGGCTTTGGGCGATTCGGCCGTTTTCTTTTGTTTTCAGAATCTTGGCTTGGTTTCCGCCCACACTCGTTTTTGCGATTGGTCTCGATCTCGCTTATCGTGTGTTATGTCAAATGAATGGATGAATGAACGTTATGTCTGGTTGCTTTTCTTTTGTCTGTCAGTGCCTTTGCTTTCCATTTTTGATGCACTTGTGAGCATAATAGGAACTCTCGCGTAGTCGTCTCTATTGCTGTTTGTTTTCTTCGATCTACTATTGTTGCTGCGATGCCTGATGTGAAGTAGCACCTAAGGAATGATTGCGCGCAGGATCACGGTGTGATTAGATGATTGGATAGTTGTTTGTCCAGAAACAAGCGAATACCTCGCGGGGATGAGTGTAAGCGCGATCTGATCTGCGCAGCCTACATGTATCCACGCGCGCAGATTCGCGACCATTGACGAACTTGCCGCCCTCGGGTAGACGAGAATTGTCCTTCCCCCATGTACCTAAACGGAAAGGAATTCCGATATCACGTCGGAACATCCCCTTGCCGATTACATGAGTGTGGGAGAATTCTACCCCACCACAATGATAAGATGTCGAGCTCCTTGGGTGAGTGAATGCATTAGGCAAAGATATCCGGAATTCCCCTGCTTAACCGAGAATCGATTGTGCCCCAGGGAATTTCACTGTGTTGTAACCAGCGATCCGAGGTGCTCCGATTATCCAACTACTGATAATTCGCACTACTTCATATCCCCCGGTTTCGTTATTATCACTACTAATTTCCCTCCCTTCCGTCTCCTCCTCCCGTATCACCAACTCACAGTGGTTCCATGGAAATCCATCGCCCCGTACTGGCCCCGCACGCCTTGCGGAAATTGTCGGCGATGCGGCAACCGGCGAGCCCCGGAAACTCAAGGGCCTAGCCAGAACACGAGACAACAGACGACACGTGCCCGCACCCAAAAGTCCGACTCATCGGGAACGTACCAATCCCTGGTTAGCCTTTCCCCGAACCGCCGCTCCCAAGACAAACGGATCAGACGGCGTTGAATGCACCACACATACCATCTGCCTTATGCTGCACGACATCGAACGACAGCAGACCGGAAGTAACTCGCCCCTTCCCCCCCCTTAGCCCTATTGCATCTGTGCCCCTGAAACTTTGCCACATGAGATCTCAGTTTGGACCGGGAACTCCACCCCCCACTTTCCCAAAAATCCTTAGCACACCCCTTTTCGCACTTCCAGGCCCACATCCCACTCCGACTCGGATCAGAAAGTCGCACTGGGCGTGAGGTTGGTATCGAAGCTCGACATGTGGCAGGGTTGTAGGATTAAAACAACACGATAATTGAGCGATCTGACTAACCGAGGGCGACCTCGACCCCGGAACGCGCATAGACGCGACCCCGTCATCACTAGAAGCAGATCGGCTAACCGACGGGCAGCCAACATGAATGCTAATCCACAGAATCCAAATCCGCCGCAGAACCTCAATCAGCAACAAAATCCTAATCAACCCGCACCACGAGCACGGGCTCCTATGACGCCCCCTGACCTCTATCTGTTTGATCCTGCGCATCATCTTGCTAGAGCATGGCTAGCCACGCTCCGTGCTCAGCAGTATGACGACAACGAAGCTCATGTGAACATCCCCGCTCGATTAGGAGGGGACCCTCATCATTGGTTTAGTACCTATGTATGAGTGGATCTCCCGACCTTTTAGCGAGATTTTTTGAATCGGTTTGATTACATCCATCCAGAACAAGCACTCTTTATGATTAAAGATCAAGTTCAGAAAAACGTTTGTGAAAACAGAGCGAGGTGAGCAAGTAGGAAGAGATTTGTTCACCGACGGACTTTGCAGCAGAGCGACGAGGGCGAAACTGCGAAAACAGTTCTCCCCCATGAATCACACGCTGCAGCAGATCATGGCCGCCGCAAAAGAGATGAAGCGAAAAATTGTTGTGAGTTTCCTAGAAGGGGAAGATAACCTAGGGAAGGATACTCGTCTGAATCATCGAGGGCTAAGGCTGAGTTGGCCGCGTTGCAAAACAAGTTCGAAAACATGAGGTTTGTATTCGGACCGGTCACCTATTTAGAGCAGATTACCCCTAAACGGTCAGTCCCAACTGTGATTGCCAACGTACCCACTCCCGTGATGACAGTTAGAGAGCACAAATGGGTAACCGTTGCCCGTACCCAGCCGTACCCAACTGTAACTGCCAGGTTACGGGCTGGTATGGGTACCCCTTCCGAAGTGGCAGTTGGGTATGGGCAGGCACAAACAAAAGGCGGTGGTTGTTAGGGCGGGCACATTTGTCTTTTTTGGAGATCATGAGTGGGTAG